CGCTGCTGCCCTGCCCACCCCCACACACACACCCCGTGCAGGCTGCGGCCACGTACAGCCACGTGTCATTAACCGCGCTCCGCTGGACGGACGGCAGCTGCCTCCCCCCCACTGGTGCTTTCTGCCTCAGCCATGAGACACTGGTCACGAGGGAACAGGGCAGAGGAGGACTTGAGAGAAAGCGGAGACAGAAGCCTGCAGGGTTAACTGCAGCCACACAGTGCCATGAGGGCCCGAGCCTGGCCACAGGGCAGAGCAAAGCGCCAGCCGCAGCCACACCACAGCACAGAGCTGGCGGCTCATCACAGACCCTCCCGACCACCCCACTGTGCCGGTTCCAGGGAGGAGGCTCCCGTGTGCTGCCATGTGACTGGTGCTCAGTCGCGGGCCGAGCAGGACCAGAAAGGCCTCCGGGAAGAGACCGAAACCTCCGATCTGCACAAGCCAGGGCCCATGGCAGCGGGGAGGTGGAGGCCCAGGGCAGATGCCCTGCCATCGCGGGTCTGGGCTGTCACCCGCCTCCGATCACGGGCAGAGTGGGGTTGGAGTCACCTTAGGGAGCCAGCGAGGTGCCAGTGACTGTGCAGGTGGCCGAGAGGTGGCCAGCCTCCGCGCGCTCGGCCAAGGGGACGCAGCCTCGTGTGGTTCCCCTCAGGGCCCTACTAAACATCCTTTGGGGCCATGGCCCTGAGGTGAGCGCAGACCTTTTGCCAAGCTGTGCCGGTGCCCTGCAGTGCCCGCATGGTGCAGAACCGTGGGCACCAGGCCCTCCTTCCTGGCCCTTCCTTTTTTTTTTTTGGAGAGGTTTTTCTTGCTATAGGCACGTGCGTTCCAGACTGACAGAGAGAGACATAGAGACAGAAAGCAAGAAATCATCCCCCAGGGGGAATGACCACGCCACAATCCCTCCTCCTCCATTCTCCTCTCGGGATCTTGGGCACGCACGCACATGCGCCTGGCGTGAGTTTAAGCCACCGGGTCTGGGACTCGAACTGCGGTTGACTACATGGGAGTCCAGCGACATAGCCATCACGCTAACTGCTGGTCCCTTCCTGGCCCTTTCTCATCGCTGGCCTGGAGCCTCCCGTCCATCCCACGGGCTTTCTCTGCTGCCTCTCCGCATCTCGGCCCCCTGCCGCCCCGCCTGGCTGGGCGCTGGGCCCGAGGCCTGCTCGCATGCGGGCAGCAGCAGGCGTTTCCCCGTCCTGTGACAGGACATCCTGGCGCCCCTTGGTCTCTCCCTGGCTGTTTAAAGCAGACCGAACACAGGAAGAAGCCTAGCTCTAAAATTAGCTGCGGACAGGACAGGACAGGCACAGGGCTGTCTCTGCAGTTGGCGGTGGATGAGTTCAGGCCGTGCTTCCTGCCTGGGCAGGACAGACCGGTGAGGTGGCAGTGCGGCCGAGCCGCCCAGGACACCCGGCCTGCTGTGGGGCTTCTGGCATTTTCCGCCTGACAGGGTTTGCACACAGCCCAACCCAGATGCACCAGAGGTGGGCCCTGCTGCCAGGAGACCGTGTCCCACGATGGCTACGAGGCCACGGGTCTTGTCAGGGACAGGTTCCCTCCTCGGGTCTCTTAAAACCTGGGGTTCGGGAAGTAAGCGTTTGGGGGAACCTGCTGTCCCCTTAGGTGCCCGATGCAAGCCGGTTCTGGCACCCCGGTGCGGGGCCTCCGGAGCGGCTGGGCATACAGGGCCCATCGTGTGTCCTGCTGGGCGTCGCAGTCGGAATGGGGAACTCTCGTCCGAGTCCTTCCTGCCACCAAATGTTTTAACCCGCTTTTCCAGTCACGTTTTCAAGGTCATCCCCTCCCTTCCCACAGGGTAGGCGTTCAGAGTCACACGTGGAGACTGAGGTCAGGGCCTTGGTGACGGGGAGCCTGCCTCTGCTCTGTGGCTGACGGTCAGCAAGGGGCACAGGCGACTGCCCTGAGCCGCCCCACCACCCGCAGTGGCATCTCACTGTCGCACTGGTCCTTGTCACTGGCTAGGGCTGGCGCAGAAGCTGCCCCATTTTGCAGTTGGATAAACCGAGACTCCTGGCCTGGGAGCCCACCCAAGTCCACTCTTCTGGCCATGGGGGGGCGGCTCCTCCCACACCTGCACCCCCCAGCCACCCTCCCCGCCTCTGCCCGGCCCGGGCGAAGCAACTTTCCCAGGGTACGCCGCCTGGTTGCTGACCGCGCACAGGGTGGCCACAGCCCGGTCTCTGGCACTTTCTCACGCGTGAGTCCCTGCCACGCCAGGTGCCTGGGAGTCGTGGCCCTCGTGAAAGACGCAGGCTGGACCCGTGCGTCTTACTTGAGGCCCCACGGTCCTCCTCCCGGTAAGGAAGGGAAGTGGCCGGCCAACAGACAGGCGCCCAGCGTCTCCGGAGCCCAGGGTCCTAGAGACCAGGCCAGCCCGAAGGAGCACCTGGGGGAGTGGGCTCAGCCCTCCAGGCCGTTGGGGGTCATGGTGGATGGCTGCCAGGGCTTCGGCCTCTCGCTGGGACCTCCCCGTGAGTGCCAGCACTCGCGCCCCGATGACAGGGGCCGTGGCATGTCGGGAGGCCCAGCTTGCTGGCACATAGGCTGACAGCGTGTTCCTGGCCCCCCAGCAGCCCAGGAGGGGTCCCACATCTGTATGTGTGCTGGAGCCTGGCCAGCAGGGCACGTGTGTGTGCACGTGTGTGCAGGCATCTTCCTGGTCGTGTGGCAGCCATGCATAGCGAGACCTCCCATTTGGGCTTGCACCGCCCGTGAAGGGCTGCATCTCTGCAGTGCCCTGGCCTCCCGTGGCTGGGCTGCGGTGGGCTCGGCCTGGAGGTGCCCCGCCCCTGTCCTGCAGTTGTGACAGCCTGAGGCAGGACTGGGACCCAGCCGCCCCACACGGCTACGGAAGGGTGATGAGGCTGGGTCCCACAGACCCAGGTACAGCGTGTTGCCCATGCCCACTGTATCTAACATGCCAAATGCAGGGCAGGCTCGAGGCGAGGCCATGACTGCGTTGTCTTGCCTTTGCCCCACGGGTGGGGCGGGGGCACGGGCGGCTGGGGCAGGGGTGGCGTCTGCTACTTACTCGCCAGCTGGAACGCAGCGGCCATGGCCTCCTCCCAGCACTGGGAGTCGGGCGACGCCGGGGGCAGGCCGGCCAGCCCCAGAACGAAGGTGAGCTGGCCCACGGCGAGGGCTGCCGAGGCTGCCAGGTTGCAGGCGCGCATCATGTCGAACTGCACTGTGGGCAAGAGGGGGAGAGGGGCGGTCAGCGGGCGCGGCAGCCTGTCCTGTCGTCGGTCCCTGGGAGCCCTCACCGCCTGGGGCTGCCCTGCGTACTGGGCTCCCTGAGGGCCAGTGCGTCACCGCCACGACCCCGGTTACGTTTCTGGTCCCAGAAGGTGAGGGGCTTCGGCCCCGTGACCATGTGTGACCTGTGGGGGCCACTGGCGGCTATCCACCCAAGAGGCCATCCCAGGCTTGTCACGCTCTAGGAGAGGCTGGCCCACCAGGGTGAGCCTTGTGCCCCGAGACCCAGCGCGGGGTCCTCTCGGGCAGGTTGTGGGAGCAGCAGACTGCTGGGCTTCAGAACTGGGCCGAAAACGTGCTCGTAAAGCTGCGACCTAGTGAGGACAGAGTCTCCGCGAGCCCTGTGCTCAGGGGCGGTTCGTAGTGGGAAGAGGAAGGAGCAGGGCTGGCCTGGCCTGGCCTGGCCTCCTGTGACCCAGGCTCGCTGCTGTGGTGGAGTGGCCAGCCTCGCCCGGTGACAGCGCCTGTGCCACGCAAGGGTGACAGCGTGCGTTTGTGGCATCACTCTGCCCCCGCTCGTGGGACTGCAGCTCCGAGATGCGGGATGTCGCCGCGCCACCCGCCGGCCCCGACCGCATCATTTCATCACTTCAAGCGCATCCCCGTGTGCCGTGCCCTGCGTGGTCTCCCCCGTGCCTGCATGGCCCTGCATGGCTACCTCTGCCCCCCAGGGTGGTGGCCTACTAGAGGACAGCAGCCGTGGGCTCTCGGGAGAGGCGCTCTGCACAGGCAGAACAGCCTCCCCACCCCGCGTGCTGTGCCCGGCCCTTAGTGGGAGGGAGCCAGGCTACAGTGGCTGACGGCCGGTTGAGCCGATGTGCCAGAACCTTCCTGGTCTTCACAGCCTGCCCTTCCTGAAGCACAAGCATCCCCAGGGTAGGCTTGGGCTGACCCCCGGGAGTGTAGTGTGCGTGCGCTAAGAACAGGCGCCATGAGGCTCCTCCCAGCAGGCGGTCTGCAGAACCCCACGGGGGTGCACTCATGGTGCCTCGCCTCCACACTGACCCCTCCCGTGACTGTCACCTGTCCTGTCGCCGCCCAGAAGGCTCCCTGACCCCAGGAGATTATAGGAACTGGGAGGGTTTCTTTTTAAGAATTATGTATTCATCTATTTTCAGTTTGATGAGAGAGGAAAAGAGCAGCGTCGCCGAGGGGCACGTGGCTCGGGCCTGGCCGGCCGCTGCTCATGCAGACCGTCGCCCTCCCTCAGGGGTCCACGATGGCTGCTGTCTGGCCGGCCTTGTTCCAGCTCCCTGGCACTCGCACTGCTCAGACGGGCCAGCCACCTGTGAGGGCGCGTCAGCTTCAGGATCGTCCTCAGAGCTCATCAGGCAGCAGACCCAGGGCAGGCGAGCAGGAGGCGCTGCCTGGTGCCCAGGGAGGAACGCCATGCTGGGCATGTGTGTGGTGGCATGAGGCGGCCCAACCTCAGCAGGGACAGCGGAGGAGGGGCTGGGCCGAGTCTGGGGGCTGCGGTGCCTGCCCTGCCCTGGCCACACCGTGTGGTGTGTGGGGCAGAGGCAGGGCGTATGTGGTTATGGAGGGGCCTTGCTCAGGGCAGGGGCCAGCAGGGGGCTTCCCCACGCCCACGTCCTGCAGGGCTAGGAGACCAGTGCTGCCCCAGAGGAAGGCAGGAGCTGGCACCAAGGACCCCGCCTGCCTCCCGGCCCGCCCTGCCCCCTGGAGACCTGGGCACAGTGCAGCTACAGAACGACCGCGGGGCCGGAAGGACGCAGACCCCATCCAGCCGTCCTCGCCTGCTCTAAGCACCCGAGTCTGAGGGTGCCAAGGCCTGGCGTCGCACGGGTGCTTCCGTTTCTTACGAAGGACCGTCACTCCCTGCCCTGGAGGGGTGCTGGGGGCACGTGGGTGCATCCCGTGAGATGGCCTGGCCGTGTGCTTCCGCCAGCCGAGTCTGCCATGAAGCGGGCAGTGTCCCCGCCCAAGCGCTGAGCCCAGGGCTGGTCGCTCACAGGGCACCTGCAGGCCGTGCGTCGGGACCCAGAGCTCGGAGACGGCCTGGCCTTCGTGTTTTCACCAAGGCCGTGTGTGGTGGGGCAGAGGGTCGCACAGACCGGCTGCGCTGGGCCCACACTAGGGAGCGAGCGTCACCCTGGGACACGTGTGGCCGAGCAGGGAAGTGGCGGCACGTGCCCTGCGGGCTCTCTTTGCCCCTGAACATGCCCCGCTCGTGGGCCCTGGGACGCAGCACCGCGCAGACGGGGCCAGCGCTCCAGCACGCGACGTGGGCCTGGCTGACCCCACTCACTGACGCTATTTCCAACCAGAGAAGTGTCTGCCTTTGACCCTGTTCCCGGCTCTCCCAGCTCTGCCTGTGGCAGGGCGGAGATGCTCTGCAAAGGGAGTTGGGGCCAGAGGGGCCTTTCCTGCGAGGCCGCCCTCCAGCAGGGCCGGGCCCAGCACAGCACAGCCTCCCTGCCCACACCTGTGCCCAGTGCACTCCCAAGCCCCAGCCACTCTGAAGGCGACAGAAAGCAAGGAGACTTACGTTTGACGGTGCCTCGAGACTCCTGGAAGCCGGGTGACTCAGAGCCCCAGCCCAGCGCCTCACAGTCCCGCGGGCTGGCCAGCCCTGCTCCAGCCACGGTGCTCAGGCCACCTCGGGCCCTGCCTGCCAGCCAGCAAGACCTCCACAGCCCCACGCTGCGTCTGCGGCCATCCTCCAGCGTCTGGCACACCCAGTTGGGGGTGAAGGCCGCCACGTTGTTGAGGACAAGAGAGACGAGGGCCGCCAGCACGGCTGTGGCCACCAGTTTCTGGACGGCCATAGCTGACCGCACACTGCTCGCGGACGTGAAGACCTGGGCCCCGGCCAGCTGCTGTGCCTCAGGGGAGCCGAGACCTGCCGGGACGGCTAGAGAACATCGCCACTCATTCTCCAAGGCAGCGTGGCGGCTCCAGCCGAGGGCACAGGAGTGTCAGGTGTCGGGAGAGACCCATAGGACAGGTCCCGGTGAGCCCACCTGGCGGCCCTGCCTTATCCCGCTTCCTGCACCTGGAGCAGGGCCAGGCCTGTGCTGAAGGCCGCTGCCGTGAAGCCCATCCCGGTGAGGGCGTGGGTACGAGCAAGAGCGGGGAGCCCCGAGTGCTGTCTTCTTGGGGAGCAGAGGCCAGGAGGCTGCCGTGCTCTTCCCCTGTGGCGTGGGGGCTGGAAAGACTGCCCAGGGCTCACCACACGGGCCGCCACGAGGTGGAGGAGGTGGAGGCTCCGCTGCAGGACGGCCTCCGCCTGGAAGGGCAGGTCCCGGAGAGCGCCCTGCGGCGAGGAAGTGCGTGCCGAGTGTCTGCGGGAGGAAACGGGCGAGTGGGAGGCTGTTTGGGGTGAGAGGCGGGCGTAGCCAGCTGCGGCAAATGGCTGCACTGAGGGCCCTGAGGACGAGGACGGGAAGGGGAAGCGATCGGGAAGCGCTTCCTGATGGGATGGAGCCCAGCGAGCTCCTCTCACCTGTTGCCCCTGAGCCTGGCTGGCTGCCCAGGTGGCCATCATGCTGGGACAGCCCAGAGGCACCCCAGACACCGGGCAAGTGTGCCCTGCGGGTCCAATGCCTGTGTGAGCAGCTGGGATCCAGCGGGCCTGCCCTCCCCACAGCCATCGAATGCCTTGGGATGGACGTGGGCGATGCAATGTGGGGGAGCGCCAGGAGGGCCAGGGTGGGAGGCGCCATCTCTGAGCGGAGACCTGCAGCCTCGGAGGGGGAGTGAGTGTGGCGCAGGCCCCTGTCGGAATTGCAGGCGGTGCCTCTGACCTCAGCCCCGTGGGTTCTCACCTCTGACCTCAGCCCGTGGGTTCTCACCTGCTCCATGCACTCGGCTTCCCGCTGCCGTCTGGACCTGCCGCTGCACTGGCCGAGCTGCCGTTTCTGCTCTGGCCCTCTCCTGGCATCTGTGGCCCCAGGTGGCGTCTGGGTGCTGCACACACCCCTTTTCTAAGGAGGGCTTGGGGGACAGCACCTCATACCTGACCTTCCAAGCAGGTGGGGCTGCAGGTTGCCTTGAACAGGAAGTTTTCTCAAGTTTCCATTAGAAGGTGTGGGGGGAGGGCACCAGCACGAGGCGTGGCGGTTAGGGTACTGGACGCTTCCATGTGGCTGACCACGGTTCAAGTCCCGGACCTGTGAGTTGCTTTCTTTCTTTCCCTCTCCTCTGTGTGTCTCAGGTCAAAAAAATAAATGAATGAAAGGATAAATTTTTTAATTTAAAAAGGAGGTAGGTTTCTTCCTGATTCAGCCTCATGCTTCGTGGAGCCGTCCGGCTTGGTTCCAGTTTCCCAGAGGAGCGGAGGAAGCACCCCATCAGGGACAGCCACCCCGCAACACCTCTGTCCCTCCTTCCGAGGTTTGGGCACGCACCCACCTGGTGTTTCTCGAGCCCCCAGGCCCAGACCCTGCACTGAGCTGGCCGTGCGGGGTCCCACCTCCTTTGCCACCACCGTGTGCTGGCTGGCTTCAGGTGGTCTTTCATTTTCTCTTTTTTTTTTTTTTTTTCTAAGAGAGATTTTTGCTTTAGGGTGCATGCGCTCACCGGAAAAGAGACAGTGAGAGGGAGGTGAGAGATCACCCCCAGGGGGATGGCCATGCCGCAATTCCTTCTCCTCCATTCTCTTCCTGGGATCTCGGGCACACGTGTATATGCACCCAATGATTTTCAAGCCACCTAGTTCGGGACTCAAACTGTGGTCAGCCATGCCGGAGTCCAGCAATGGCGCTCCTACGCCATCTGCTGACCCCTCAGGTGGTCTTGGGCTGGCTAGGGAAGGGCCAGGCCAAGCCTCCCCAGTGCACTCAGGCCTGGCCCTCCAGCACTCATGGGGGACTTCAGTGAGGCCACCAGTCCCTGCATCCCCAGCCCCTGTCCTAGCATCAAGCTCCTGGGGTACAGGAAGCTGGGTGAGGGGCAGGTCTGGGAGCAGTGTTTATGGTGGGAGTGACCCCAACCAGAGAGGACACTCCAGAGGGCCTGCGACCACACGGGGGCACCCTCCTTGGGCTGGAGGCCAAGCCACAGGCAGTCCGGCTGCAGCTGTTGCTCCACACCGGACAGCCAGGAGCAGGAGCCGAGCCAGGGCTGGGCCGAGCACTGAGCCGCGCCCTCCTTGCCTGCTGTCCAGACGGGCGGTCTCCAGCCCTGGGGCCATTCTGAGGCCAGCTTCCTCTGTCGTCCCATCTGGGCCCCTCCAGGCCAAGCTGATGAGGTGCAGATGTGAGAGGTTTCTCACAGACTGCCCAGTGGGCAGGAAGTGCTCAAGACGTGGACGGGGACTAAGAGGCTATTTGCTCGTTGGAATCCGCGGCCGCTGCACAGGCCACGGCCGGAGGAGAGGCTGCCCACAGACCCGCCAGCCATGCGGCCTCGGGACTCGTGGGCCGACGCGCTCCGGTGCCAAACCAGGAGGCACCAGAGTGTGGCTGTGCCCTTGGGTCTAGACTTCCTGCAGGTCTGAGTGCAGCAGGACAGAGGCCCACCCTCCCCGGAAAGTGACAGCCTCACCCAGCAGGGAGGGGCCTGTCCTGAGGCCACCTTTGAGGGGCATTTCCAGCCTCTGCCGCCTGGCCAGGTGCTATAGAAGTAGCCAGGCATGCTAGGGATACAGTGGGCGGATCTGGTCACACAGGTGCCCGGGGAGGCGCGTTAAGGCCAGGTCGGCGCTCCGGGCCTTTCTCCTCCCCCAGCGGCTGCTGCCCTGCAGGGGGAAGAGCCAGCCTGTGTGTCCTTTGTCCGGTTCCATCTGACTGGACACTGAGCGGACCATTCGCTCTCGAGCTGTGATGGAGGGAAGAGGGCCACCCCGGGCAGGGGAGGCACCCAGAGGACATGGCGGAGAGGAGACTCGAACATCTCTGAGAAGTGTGGTCATGTGGAATGGAGTCTGCGAAAGGCCCCGCGTCCACCTGGCGCTGCCTTTCAGAAGCATCCAGGCCCTGCCTGCCGGGCCGAGGGGACGCGGGGCTCGGACTTCCTGCAGAGTCTTTGTGTCCATGCAGGAATGGGGGGGACCTGTCAGGAAAGGCGGGTCGCCAGAGACACAGAAGCAAGAAATCACCCCCAGGGGATGACCACACCACACCCCTTCTCCGTTCTCCGGGTTTGGGGCACACACGCACACGTGGCCAGCATGAGTTCCAAGCTGCTAGGCCTGGGACTCGAACCATGGACGACTGCGGGAATCGAGCACCCTAATTATTGTGCTCCTTGCTGGTTCTGGTAGCCAGGTCCTTGAGCCCAGGGTCCAGGTCTGAGGACACGGCCAGGCAGCAACAGGGGCAGATGCACCGGGGCTGTCCGAGGAGGGTCAGGCTCCGATAGGGAGGCCAAAGTGCCTGTGCCCAGCACCTCCTCAAGAACTGGCCATCGACTGGAAGCGGAGCAGGAGCAGAGTGGGGGCGCACACTGGGGAGCTTGGAAAGGGCACTGCAGCACACTGAGCAGGGTGCCCTGCGCCTGCTGGCCCACACCCTCCCCAGGCTGTCTGATAGGAGGTGGTGTGGGCCGCCTCCCCCTTCCCCATGCAGGTCCCTGCTGCCAGGGGTGGACCTGGCTGTGCACACCCGCAGGGGGAGAGACCGGGAGTTTGGCCACAGAAGATAGGCGTCCTCGTGGGCTGTATCCCGGTCCCGGCCCCGGCCCTGCAGCACGGCCGAGCCCACGGGCACCCTGGCAGCCCCACCTCCGTGGCGGCCGAGCAGATGGGGCAGGGGTGAGGCTTGGGCTGGGATTGACGGCACCCCCTTCTGCCCTCAGCGAGGCAGTCTGGGAGAACATGGCACGCATGTGTGTGAAGACGCGGCGGCTGGACGTCGCCAAGGTGTGCCTGGGGAACATGGGCCACGCCCGCGGGGCCCGTGCGCTGCGCGAGGCTGAGCAGGAGCCGGAGGTGGAGGCCAGGGTGGCTGTTCTGGCCATCCAGCTGGGCATGTTGGTGAGTCCCGGACAGATGGACAGACAGACACCGTCCCCTGGGGGTAAGAAAGAACCTGCCCACCAGGCCCCTCAGAGGGGAGGCTGGCCTCTGGGTCTCAGGCCCTCCTCAGCCCTCAGAGGGGCGGTGCCCTGTTTGCTACCAGGCCACTTGGTGATCCGCAGAGCCCCCCTGAGCAGCTTGAGCCAAAGAGGAGGCACCTTGATCCCCTGAGAGTCTTACCACCCACCAGGCCTCAAAGCTGAAGCTCCTGGAGGCCGGTGGCATCTCCAGATTCATGGCTGCACGTGGGTGGGGGGCAGGCTGACCACACACACACCTGCCCTGAGGGAGGGGTGGGGGACTTCCAGGGAGACAGCCCCGCCCCTGCACTGCTCAGGCCTCCCCTGCTGCAGGGGCAAGAGCATCATGCGGGCGTCTCCACTGTGCGTGGCTCACACGTGTACCCTGCATTGCCCGTCTGCCACCTGCCACGGTGGGGAGTGGCGCTGTGGGTGTGCCCGTG